TTACTTAGATTATTTTCAAAATTTTTAATAAACTCCGTGGTTAGTTTGGTCTTATTATTAGTAGGAAGACTAAAATTCTCTCCTAATTGATAAAATAAATAACAGGAATAAAAAACAGGTAATGTTGTTAGGTATCACTGTAGAGGAGAGATTGATGAACCATCTATTATAGGTTTTTAGGATGTTGTGTTGATAATTAGAAAAAAGAGAAGGTTCAATATGCACTTCTGTTTTTCCAGTAGCAATGTTCGATCTATAGTAGTTAGATTTGAAAAAGGATTGGGATTGTTTTTGTGTAACTAATTCAGATGGAGGACTTTGTGATACTGTGCAATAAATAGATTCTACTTTATGTTCTGTTCTCTGTTTGATTATTATTAGCTTGAACTTTCCCTCAAAGCCACGACGTATGTCATGAAAATGAGAAAATAGAGGACCACTTTGTCCATTAAAAAAAGAAGTACTAACAGACACCGAGTATTGTACATAATTCTATGTGTCAGTTTATATAATGATTCAAGATTCCTAACGTTGTCTCTGTATGCATCAATTTCCATTTTTAATAGTTTGTTTTGAAATTCACCTTAATGTGTTTAAATTGTGTTAAAAAAATTTGAATTTTTTTCATTTAAAGTGAACTTCTTAAACATGTTATAAATATGTGCAGGGAATACTGAATGGTTTTGACAATTACATAGAAACTTAATTTTAAGTGTGTTCGAAATGATATTTTTACGACATTTTATCCATAATTTGAATAATTTGGTAGTGGCGACCAAACTGTGACCTAATGTAATTAAAGAAGGTTATTATTATAACAACGCATATTTTCAGCCTAGCGTGTCAAAAAATAAGAGAAATTGTGTAAAAAGCTCTCAATTATTCAATAATAAAATTACAATATAAAATAGGCATAGAAAGCTGGTACTACTAAAGCTGGTAAACTAAAATTAAAATAAAGATAAAGAAATTAAACCATAAAAAATTTTTTTATTAATTAACTTAGAGTTCAACGGTATTAAATATATAAATTTACTTCCATACTATTAAAAGGATAATGTTAAATATGTTTTACATTAATATTCGTACATTTTACATTAATATTCGTTTACATTGATATTCAACGTTTCGGCTAAACTTTTCTAGCCTTCTTCAGCGCATTAAGATTAAAAAATTAATTAAGAAACAGTTACAATAAATTCAAATTATAAATCGGAATCATATAAAATAGTAAATGTCGCCATTTATTTTACCGATTAGATATCATATTAATCTCCGTAAATAACACTATTTCATATGATTGATATCATAAACCTTCTTTCTCTGGGAGATACTTGAATTTTTTCTCTCAACATCCGCTATGTCAAAAAACAGGTGTGATCAAGGGCCTTACGGATAGAGTGATTATGTTGTCCCACTCTTTGTTTAATAAAAAAAACATCATTTTTGTTATTAACGTTTTTTGTTAGTATTAGAAAATGGTTATTCCTTAAAACTGATATTTAATACTATTAACAAATGTTTACATCAACTTATTTACACACAAAGAGATAATAAAAATAAAAATAATAAACTCACAGATAATGACAAAAAATTTTCTTACTTCACAATTCCTTTTTTGTCAATTATTACTGACAATTTCAAATATTTATTAAAGGACATAGACACAAGACTTGCATATGTCAGCTTAAATAAAATGAATAGATTTATAAAATCACATAAAGATACCATTCCGAAATTATCTAATACCAATGTTATAAAATACCAATGGTTATAAAATAAAATGTAATGATTGTAATGCTTCTTACGTGGGACAAACTAAGAGAAGATTGAATGCCAGAATTAACGAACATAGAAAACATATTAATAGTAATACAAATAATAGGTCTGTCATAACTGAACATAGAATTAATCATAATCACGATTTCGATTGGACGTGAAAATTTTAGATACAGAGAACAATTATACTAAAAGACTTATTTCCGAGATGATACATATTAAGAGACAACATAACAGCTTTAATTATCAAACAGACACCGAGTATTTATCCGATATATATATGAAAACATAATAAACGATCTACCAAAATACTAAGACACAATTTCTGAATATAAGAAGAGATTACCGGTTTCTCCTCTTAGTTATATTCTAATAGTTAATCAAAGATGTTTTGTCTCATTATAACGTATCTTCATGCTGAAAATTTATTTTACACTAATGTAAGCTAAACCTAAAAGAATTTTTACTTATTGACAAAAAATTTGTTTAAAACTCTTATTACAATTATTTATCAAATTATTTCTATATATGTCATTTTAAAGCTAATACCATCTTTGTTTGAACATAAAACACCTCAGTATACATCCTTTCTCTATGCATTGGGGAAATAAATTTTCTATAATGTCATTATTCGTTTCTTAATTTATAATTCATTAGTTCAGCTTCAATTTGTATTTTCAGTTTCAATACATCTCCTAACACAATAATTAGCGAGGAGTACTTTGGAAGAATGTTTAAGACAAAAATGCATACGGAATACTATGGTTCTAACTGTGTTTAAAGTATGTAGATAAACTTAACGGCGACATTTACTATTTTATATGATTCCGATTTATAATTTGAATTTATTGTAACCGTTTCTTAATTAATTTTTTAATCTTAATGCGTTGAAGAAGGCTAGAAAAGTCTAGCCGAAACGTCCGAATATCAATGTAAACATATGAATATTAATGTAAAACGTACTTAACATTATCTTTTTAATAGCATGGGGGTAAATTTACATATTTAATACCGTTCTACTACTCTAAGTTAATTAATAAAAAAATTTTTTATGGTTTAATTTCTTTTTCTTCTTTCTAATTTTAATTACCAGCTTTCTACGCCTATTTTATATTGTAATTTTATTATTGAATAATTGAGAGCTTTTTACACAATTTCTCTTATTTTAATTTTAAATTTAAAATAAATTTAATTTATTTAATTAATTTATTTAATTGAATTATAGAAATATAGAAATAAGGATATATAGAAACGAGATAGGTAAAAATAGGTTTATTGCAAAAAAACTTAATTTTCTATAATGTGATATACAGAGTGGCTGAAAACTTTTCGCACATCCAAAGTGTGAACGTATATTGGTTCAAATTAAGATGGAAAGTCCTCTACTGTTTTGCGATCTTCCCAATAATTAACAAAAAATTAATTAAAGAAGAATCGGCTAATCGGTGTGAGTAACAGTGTGCAATAACGAGAGTCGTCCCACTGTAATTACCTTACCTTATACTAAGCTCGTGGCGAAGCGGTAAATGGGCAAGGAATGGAGTGAGTTGGGGCCCAAAACATAATGGTAGTGCGTGGCGCTTCAGAATTGCATTGAGTTGCAGTAAGTCCCGTCAACTGCTTCACCACGCGCCAAATATCAGGTTACAGTAGGCGGCTTTTCTCGCCGTGCACTTATATACGCATGTATTGGTTAATGTTCTTTAATTAATATCTTGAAATTTTATGGGTTTTTTCAAAATGAATTTTTTTTTTAAATGGATGATTTAATGAATTTTTAGTTCGATACGAGATATATTTATGGTCTTTTTTGATGGGTGATAGAACGGACACACTGTATATGTGGCTAGAAGCGCGCGGTAACGAAGACGGTCTCACTGTAACATAATGGCGACGCGCGGCGAAGTGGTGATTGGGGAAAGAAGGAGTGAGTATGTAGGCGCTTGACGAAGAGACGAGCGGGAAGGAAGTGGTGGACCGACTCTCTTAACCCTTTCGTATTTCCGGCTTTCCCAGAAGAGATGCGTTTCATATAAAGACAGTTTTATAGGTTTTTAGGGATGCTGATTCCAAATTTACCATCAAAATTTAAATTCAAAATGGCAGATTTAAGATGGCGACCATGAAAAACTTAAATATCAATATATTTAAAATATGGGCTTAGATTTTTGTTTTAAATATATATTATGGGTTTTCTGAATGAACACGTACACACACATTCGATTCATGGCGTTGTTATACATTTTTTTTACAAGCCGCGCATCTGCCGCGAGACTCAGATGCCCATCGCACGTGTCATCTTACTTCGCATACACTTTGATTACACATATAAACTATTATATTTATCATAATAAAGGTGTAATCACATTTAAATAAAACTTTAAGTTTATTATTAGCGCATAAATTCTATAATTTTTCAACATAATATACGGTTATTCTTCTCTAAAAGTTTGATTTTTTGCAAAGTTTAGATAATTATATTTTATTGTAAACATTATATTTCAAGGTGCGCGATTTTTCTACATAAATAAATAATTTGAACCGTCTTCTTTAAAACAAGCCAGGGTAAAAGTCGATAGAATTATTTGTTTAAAAATTATGATTTTTTTCATAGGTGGGACATATATGACGAAGATACGAAAGGATTAAACATGGCAGTCGCATTTCTAGTCACGCGTATTGGCTGATCTTTTTCTATTAATATCTCAAAATTTTACGTGATTTCTTGCAAAATGGTATAGGATTTTTTAGTTCAGTTTAGCGAGATCTACTTATGGTTTTACTTTGTTGCGAGATAGCTGGAACTCCCTGTATGTATATTGTTTTGAGAAAATTAAAAAATATTCTTTTACAATATTATTCCGTAATAATAATACACACACACACACACACACACACACGTGTATATATATATATATATATATATATATATATATATAAATAATATGTGAATTTTGTTTAAAATAAGATAAAATACATTTTTATAGGATTAATTTTTTTAAGATATTAATAATTTTAGATATATTATATAGATATTAAAAAAAATGAGACTACTGTATATCATCATAATTTTTATATCGCATACAAACAACTTGACATGTTTTATAAACACCTTACAAAGTGTCCTTATCTACTTTTTAATAATGTTTGATATTTTGTGTTTTGTATTTTAATGATATTTACAATATGACATTTTTATTTGCTATTTTTTAATTTTCTAGAACACACAAAATTTGACGGTCATAACGCCCAAAAAAACGACGAACAATGAAAACAGAAATCCTAATATCACCTATGGCATCGATGATATACCACCGTGGTATCTATGTTTATTTATGGCATTGCAGGTATATAAGCATATATTATACACTATCAAAAATGATAGTTACAATTAGAGTTGAAATTATGGTTGGAATTATATTAGAGTAAAAATTATTTAAAAAGAAATAAAACATTGTTTAAAACAAACATTATTAATTATTAATGTTTCAAATGTTTCATGTTTATTTAATGTTTCAAATATATTTATACAGTGTTGAAAAAATCACGTTTAGAACAAAAAAATATAATGTAAGATATATAGAATATATTCATACATTTATATATTTTATATGATATGTTATTTAATAATATACTCTATACAGCATTACTTAACTATGATTGGCGCTATCGTTTCTATTCCCTTTATTCTAACGCCAGCCCTTTGCATGACTGAAGATGATCCTGCAAGGAGCAATATTATTTCTACGATGATCTTTGTCACCGGTTTGGTGACATTAATCCAGACTACTATAGGATGTAGGTACGTATAATCATTATCATATAAAATAGGTAAAATTGATTATTACAAAATGACAATTATACACGGATCATTTCAGTTCATGTAACAATAAAATTTTATATTAATTAATCTACTGGAAAAATATCAACAATAATATTTCATGTGAAAAAACATATTTTGTATTAGATTACCATTGGTGCAAGGTGGCACTATATCGTTTTTAGTGCCAACTCTAGCGATATTGAACCTGCCGCAATGGCAGTGCCCCATGCCAGAAGTCTTAAATCAAATGTCCTACGAGAATCGGACTGAGCTATGGCAAATTCGAATGAGAGAACTGTCGGGTGCTATTGCTGTTTCCGCTCTGTTTCAAGTAATCATCGGATTTGGAGGTGAGTTGAATCATTAAATCTATCATGCATATAATTTTTTTTAAAGTGAGACATTAAAGTTGTGTATTTAGGTATTGTTGGGTATTTGCTGAAATTTATAACTCCGTTAACAATAGTGCCGACGGTTTCATTGGTTGGGCTCTCTTTGTTCGAAAATGCAGCGGATGCTGCGTCTCAGCACTGGGGTATTGCAGCTGGGTACTATCTCTCATAATTTCTGAAAATATTTAAAAATAATTTAGATATATTATTATTATAATCATTCAAAACATTGAAAATATGTTATATATATTTTTAGAACAATAATACTGCTAACTATATGCTCTCAAATAATGATTAATGTGCCATTTCCATTTCCAATATATCGCAAAAGTCAAGGATTTCATATTATCTGGTTTGAACTATTTAAACTTTTTCCGGTAAGTATAAAGTGAAAAATATCTTTTGAAATTTGCAATGATAACATGAATTACTGTGATATAGATGAAAATATTAATTTTACTGTATTTTTTGTTGTAAAACACACATACTCAAATAACGAAATCTCAAGATTATACAGAGTATCTCAATTTAAATGTCAAAACTTCAGGAGTATGTAGAGGACCGATAAACTAAGAAAAAAATTCTTTACAGCTAGCATTGACCGCTCTAATTGGAACTAAAATTACGATTTGGTCTCTTGAGTTATTTGGCATGGAATAAACATTCTTCTTCAAGATTTCTCACACGAAGAAATCCGTAGGTGTCATCGGATGTCGATCAATCAATTCAAGAAAACTGAAAGATTGAATTATAACTGCCAGTGTATCAAATATCAGAACAATGTCTAGTTGCAATTAGAACGGTCAATGTACAATATATAGATGTAGTGCTTGCATTGCTGCAAGAGTCCAGCATTTTGAACAGTATCTTCATTAAATAAATGATAAATAATTGAAAAGAATATGAATAAATAATTGAAAGGAAACTTTTTTGTTTTTTCTTGCAATTTTCTTCAAAATGGAACAAAAACGAACAAATTTCGGAGGGACTTTTTTTCTTAGTTTATTAGTCCTTTACACTCCCGAAGTCGTGACGTTTAAATTAATGGCATTCTGCATATTGCAATATGCGCTATATATTACGTCAGAATTCTAATACTAGCTGATCTGTCGTCTTAGTTAGTGTCAGTAAAAATGCAGCAGAACATAAAGGTTTTGTATCATAATGTGCTATAAAAAGAAAAATTTAAGAAGAAGTTCTTCAAATAAAAACAGATTTTAAGCATTATGTGTTAGCATAATATGTAAGTAAAAATTAAATTAAACATAATATGATTATATTATCTGCAAGCGTTATGATGGCAGAAATCCAAAAATTGAACAACATGCGTTTCAAAAAATAATTGCAAAAATATAATAGAAACACAACATAATTTGTTGTTATAAAATAATGACAATAATAATAATATCAAGATATGTTATATCGAATTATAGTTATATCGCGCTTATCACTATAATATATTTATTTTGTTTTTAAGTTTTTTCAAATACAAAGACTACAAAGTGCGACTGACAAATTAAATATGAATGTATAGTATTTATTTCTATTTCTATTTTTTCAATTTTATTTCTGATATTATTCCAATGAAGAATTCAGAATATTACATTGATTGTTAAAATTTAATTATTTTAAGAATTATTTAACTTATGCTAATCATATGTATTACATAAAATAATTACGATAAGTATGTTACACTTACATATTACATTTATAATTGCAAAATTATAAGTAATTAATGATTCAAATTGGTAATATTTATGTCATAATAATCTGTAATATTTAATTTATGCTGCATTTCTGCTGTGTTTTTATTGTTACAATGTGACATATCATGGTTGATTTTCGCAATGCTTTCTTAATTGATTTTAGATTCAGCAGATCTTGCTCGATATTTGCATATTTTCTGTTATATCGTGACAATAAATAATGCTCGATTTTTGTTGATAGAAAATAAGTAAATGCAGATGCAATGGATAGGAATCTAAAATCATGATTAGATCTGCTGTCATGATGGCATTTTGCTATTTAAATATATATATATATATATAGGATGAGTCAGTTAAAGTGTCACAAGCTTATATCTCGAAAACAAAGCATTTTAGAGAAAAATGTTTCATATAAAAGTTTTATAATGTTGAGGAGGATATAAGATGGTGTCATTGGTTTAAACTTGAATAGTCGTTTGAAAATCATATGAAGGCTATCTTCAATTTCATTAATGGAAACTCATCATTTTTAATACATACTAGACAATGCAAAGCGCGCGCTTCGCGCGCGCCATTTATTCCCTTTTATTATATATACATTTCTCATTGTCACACAAGCTGTCAAAATTTGTAATAATCGCAAATGACAGCTGCTCACAACATGAACTGAGTGCAATAAAAGAACCAATCGACATCGCAGCAACAATTCAAGCGTCACATGCCTTTCTTCATATAGGATTATTTTAATTTGCGTAAACCCTGAAAGGTTTTCAAATTATAGTTAAGCTATACATAACCGAATTGGAAATGTTATTTCAAAAAGTAACGCGTTACTATGTTACCGTTAAGAAAATAATGATTTGTTACTGTTTATAATACTAAAATTAAATACGTAATTGATTTTAAAATATAATTATTATTTTTATTATATTCGATAATTAAATTATTCCAACATTAAAATGTTTTTTATATTAAATTTTCCAATTTCAAAATTTTAGATTTCAATACAAAAAATGGATGTATATAATTTTCTAAAATATTTGAAAAAAATTTTGCAATAGGAATAAATCTCTTTTAATTATTAAGATATCGGAGGTTATTATTGAGTTGATTAATGTAATATCATATATATTTTATTTATAGCGACTAAATAGCAATAAAATGTGATTAGTTTTTATTATTATGTTTCGGCTCATCCTTTAGAAAGGATGAGCCGAAGGAAGGACGTAACATTTGTATCCCGAGAGTAGGTGCCTTAAGGGTAGATATCTTGGGTCGAGCGAGCCTCCGGGAGGGCCAAAAATAGGTCAATGATTAGAAGGATCGATTTTACTCTATTATCGATCCGTAATGCCCGCTCGATGGTCCCTTTTTCAGTAAAAGAACTTAATCCTTATTACCCGGGATGGGGCCCAGTGGGATTCAAGAGTAGGGGTGGTAAGAGGGATTAAATTGAACGCGGGAATTAATAAATTTAAATAAGTTTATTATAAATCAGCTATAAAAATATATCTCTAATACATTGTTCTGTAAGATATGTGTGTGTGTCTGTGTGTATGTGTGTATGTAGGTGTGTATGTACAAACAAGGAAGTTTAACTTCAAATCGGGAGAATACCTTTCCCATAGAAATTCCATCGGTAAGGCTATGATAAATGGGGTAAAACAGGGGATAAGAATATTAGGAGGAGCGGTGTCGAGAAAGTTCTGTAATGTAAGGATGTGTATAGGAACAAGTCTTAAGGTAAAGGAATCTGGAGGAATTGGATCTATATGTTCTTTTTTAGAAAATGGAGACTGAGGTAATAAATGCAATAAATCGATCACTAGGCTCGATTGTAGAATAAATAGGGGGAGGAAGAATAAGAAAAGAGGGAGAAGGTGAGTTTGGGGATGATTCGTTGGGGGGAGAAGAAAGGAGTGAAAGTAACTGAAGATCGGATGGAGGATCGGGTTCTGTGTCATATACAAAGGAATAACTAGGAAAGGGAGTTTCGGAGGATAAGTAAGGAGTAACTCGCGAGTTTTCTTGAATATTATTACGCGATATTCACATGTGCTTACTTCCTCCACTACGTTGCCAGTTGCCAGCGTAAGCATTCTGGCATCACTGTTGGAAATACGGGCTAGCTATCGGGTGATCCGGGAAGTTTCTACCAGATGTACTCGGTTAGTGTGGCACTGAGTCTCGATCGGAACTAACAATAAGTAACAATTTCCGCGTAATGATGTTGATTATGGTATTGACCGACGGAATTGTATTAATTGACGGTTGGCGGAACTGGTCAGATCTGTGTATTAATTTTACAGGCACTGTTAATACGGTTAAGACACTAACAATTTTCTGAGAATACTGATTTTGAGGTTTTCTGAAAAATAGTGACTGTGAGTTTTTCCGAAAAATACTAATGATAATTCATTTGAAGTTCGCGCTTATATATCGTTTTTGGATTACCCTCTCTCAGAGTTGCTGGAGAAGCTAACAAATAGAAATCCTCGTTAGATTTCCATCGTCTCTCTCCTTTGTCCTTTCTTATAGGTGTTTAGAATGTAACAAATCAGAATTTTATTACATTCGTTCGCGAATAGGAGAGCGTCTTCCAAAATGGCGAAGCTTAGGATTCTTAATATCGGAAGTGACAATAATTTATGTCTTCTCTAAGTACAGGATGCGTATGCTAAAGACAAGGGGACAACTTTTATTACTCTCTTGAAATTAAGATAAGTCATATATCGCATCGCGACATTCGATCGCGTTTTTATGAATGGTTTCTTTTATATTTTATAACCTTTTGAGATTTTATGAGATTTTAAGTAATAGAAAAATATCAATTTCGGTTGATTGGCTGGCGCCTTGACTGTGACCGGATGCTACTATCTTATGATTTTATAGTCCGCTAATATCTGGCTGACGTTTTTAAAGCACTTATTGAATCCTATTCCAATTTGATTGACATTAATGATTTTTTGAAAGTCGTGTACATGTGCGTCGGTCATGGGAAGAAAAAAATTGTGAAGTCTTTTGGATGTAACATTAGCCTTGGATTCAACTAAGCATATTGCTACTTAGCCACTTCGTGAGCGGTCATGTTATTGGATGCACACACACACTGTTAGCTAAGTTAATCATTGATTCCCATCATTGTTTATTTAGAGTCAAAATATCGATAAGTGTTTGTAGCATCTTCTCATATGATTGCGTGTCTTCAATACTACAACTGGTCATGCTGATTTATTAAACAAAAATAACTAAAGTAATAATTAAATTTGTTACTGTTACTGTAAAAATATAATGACGTTAGTGTTATCGTTACAGACAGAAAAAAATAACGACTTTTACCGAAAAAAAGGTAACAATAACGGTACCGTGCTACTTCTCAACTCTGTGGCTATAACTATAATTAAATTATAATTATTTTTACAATAAGTACTTTAATACTTTTCGAGTTATAAGGCTTGAAAGTTACAATACCGCCAGCGTTAGTATTATCCAAGATGTATCATCCGGAAGTTGCTCGATCGAATTGGTTATCGTTATCGTTAAGTTCATTTAATTTTGTTAATATTTTTAAAATGAATACTTTTGAGGTGTTTAAGATTTATCATGTTAAGATTTATCATGTTAAAGATTTTAGGTGGAATTAATGATAAGAAATTACATTTCGAACATCTTGGATATATATCTTTATATAATTTTGTGCACTCACGCATACACACACATGCCCACATATACAACATAAAAGAGATGTTGTAAATCCGACTCTGCGTATTACATACATATACCTTAGGTAATGTTAATGCCAGTAATGTTAACGATATATTGTAACTTTCAAACATTGTAACTTTCGAAAAGTATTTGATCAAAAAATACGTAAATATTATGTTTTGAAAAGCTCTCGATATAAGATACAAGAATATGCAATGAAAAATAGGAGTTTCCGTTTAAAAAATTCCGTTAAAAAAAGATGATCTTTATGTAATCTTCAAACGACTATTTAAGATTAAAATGACATTGTCTTATATCACTTCGAAGTCACAAAACACTTTTATATAAAAGATGTTTCTTTAACATGCTTTGTTTTCCCGATATAAATTTGTGACATTTTAATCGACTCAGCCTGTACGCACGCACACACACGCATGTGTATCTATGTATATTTTTAAGAGTATATTTTTAAGTATATTTTTAATTTTTAATGTGTCTGTCCTTTATCGTCTGTCAAAAAGAAACCATAAATTGATCTCGTTAAACTGAATTAAAAAGTCTTATACTATTTTGCAAACAATTACGTAAAATTTTGAAATGTTAATTAAAGTTCGGCCAATTCGTGCGAGTATTAAGCGCGCAGCGAGAAAAACCGTTCCACTGTAACTTGATACCAAGTGCGCGGCGAAGGGTGGTACGCTCTTCAAAACATTATAGCGGTGTGCGACGCTTTAGCGTTTTAATAAAAATTATTTCAATTAAATAATTTAACTGAAATAATTTTATTAAGACTGCAAGACAATTATCGATTGATATGAGGCCGTCATGCGTCTGTTTGTTTACTCCTTGCGCATATCTTAACTGTCGTCACGCGGCCAAACTTTTTGTTGCCGTGCGACATTTGTCATTATCACGCCTAGAGCGCACATATAGTCTAGCCGTGCGAAACGCGCGTTAATATATCAATCTTTATTGCAATAATTATTACAAAAATTGCAAAATGGTAAAGGAGTTTTATTCAGTTTACTGTGCTCTATCTACTCACGAAAAATTAATTGGCTCAATGTTCATGTTATTGAAAAAAGTCATACTTATTTTATTTTCCCTCCAAAAAAACTAATACTTTTATCCCCAGACTATGTTATTTTCGTCCCAGGTCCCCAGGATAAAAGAAACAATCAACGTACTTGCGAAAAGCTATAGCTCTTTAAATATCTATCATTTGAGATTGAAACATAGGTATAATAATAGAACAATAAATGGAGTTTTTTAACGTATAATCTTTTTTGTTATATCTCTATCGATAATTAATTAGTGACCTATAATACAAAAAATGTTACTTTTGTCCCCGGTTTCCCCTACTGTTATTTTAGATCAGTGCTGGGATTTACTTGCAACTTTCGGTCAGATTTCTTAGTTTACGCCTACTGTTCCCCTCTTACCGCTCACGCCTTAGTAACCGCGCCACCGGACTCTCATAACTAAGGAGTGCTCAGGAGTGCGCATCACAAATGTTATGTGGAAATCCATCTAAGCTTTCTTTATTGTTTATTAATAATAAAAATAAGTATTCTATTATTAATTACGTATATGTTCTGTAACAATTTAAAATATTTGTGTTTTGAAACATAATCACAATAAAGAGAACTTAAATAGATAGATTGCATTTGTGACGCGTGCGTTTCTGAGCGCTCCTTAGTTACGAGCGGTGCGAGCAGTAAGAGAGGAACAGTAGGCATAAACTCCGGCCGAAAGTTGCAAGTAAATCTTAGCACTATTTTAGATAATCTTTGATGATGTTTTTCTATTGTTATAAAAGGATGCTGCAATCGAATCGCTAATCATCGCAAATCATTTCACAGTTTAGCGAGTTTATTTTCCTCCTCATTGTGCTTGCTATATCTTCATACATAGGAATCCAGGTTAAGATGATTTGATATTTTGCTCCTCTTTTTAAACGCTTGCATGCAGTTTCAAACTGCGAAAAATTTCATTATCTTAACAAATGTTGACATGACTGCTTTATAATCAGAGCAAATAATTTTTTTGTTTATTGTTAAAGATACTATATACTTTAGAAATATTAGAGATATTTATATTCTTCAATTATATTTTTGAAATAATTCTACATGTCTAACAATAAGTATGGCAAAGCATCTAAGGACGTTTCAGATTGAAAGATCGTGATAAAGAAGACGTTCATAAGAATACTTTGTTGTTTATCCCATTTCCATAAATTACTGCGTTAAAGCGCTTATTTATGTTAAAATCATGTATGTAATCATGTATGTAATGTATCATCTTGCTCATATCAGGTTAGGGTTAACAAGTTGATTTGATCTATGTCAATCAAGTTTAAAACAAACTTAAGGGAAATTTTGTATTTATTTGTTAAATCAGTGCTGGGATTTACTTGCAACTTTCGGCCAGATTTTTTAGCTTACACCTACTGTTCTCCTTTTACTGCTCGCTCCTTAGCGACCGCGCCACCGAACGCTCGTAACTAAGGAGCGCTCAGGAACGTGCGCGTCACAAATGTTATGTGGCAATCTATCTAAGTTCTCTTTATTGTTTATTAATAATAAAAATAAGTATTCTATTATTAATTACGTTTATGTTCTGTAACAATTTAAAATATTTGTGTTTTGAAACGTAATTACAATAAGAGAATTTAGATAAATAGATTGCCACATTACATTTGTGACGCACACGTTCCTGAGCGCTTCTTAGTTACGAGCGGCGCGAGCGATAAGAGGGAAACAGCAGGCGTAAGCTAAGAAATTCGGCCGAAAGTTGCAAGTAAATCCCAACACTGTGTTAAATCATAAGATAAAATATTTACGTGTCACATATGTTTAAATTGTACTGAACTATGAGTATTTTTTGCATTTGCAGATTTTATTAACAATAATCATTATGTGGATAATTTGCACTATACTAACGATGACTGATATGCTACCATACGGTCATCCTGCCAGATCCGATAGTAAATTGAAAATAATAAGCGACTCACCATGGTTTCGTGTACCATATCCTGGACAGTGGGGTGTACCCACTGTAACGTTATCAGGAGTACTCGGTATGCTAGCAGGAGTACTAGCATGCACGGTTGAATCTATTAGTTACTATCCAACTACTGCGAGAATGTGTGGTAAATATATTTGTTTTAAGATCATGATTTTTCATTTGGATAAAAATTAAAAAAGACAGAGGGAGAAAATCATGTATGATTTAATGCTTTCTATTGCATTTTTTCTATTAATATAAGATTCTTAGAGATTCTAGTTACTAATGCATAATGTACAACTTATTAACAAATATTACAATAAATGTTTACTAACATAGCACGAATAACTTTCGACACATATTGTAGAAAGTACTTTAAATAATGCACCGTTTGAATTTTGTTTTGGTTTTTGTGTTCTATTTTGGTTTCCGAAATATGCGATTTTATTCATACTTATTTTTGTTATATTCTACTTATGTGTTTATATTTTTTTATTTACATGTGTTCTTTAAACGAACATGTAGGCGGACGGAAAGCTTTGCTCTCCAGTCTATATTCTATTTCAAAAAAATAACTTAACCCAATGTTTCAGATCTGAGATATACTTTGCTTCGCACAAAAAATTGCAAATTCATGTAATATCTTACACCTACCTTAAATATGGGTTGAGTTAGATTAGTTTTTTATAATAAGAGTACTGGGAGAATGGAAAGCTTCTTCTCTCTTGACTTACGCATTTTTACTTAAAGAGTAAATGTAAAACCAAAAGAATCACTGAATTGTATACTGAATTGTAAACTGAAATGGGAACTGAAGCGTTTTTCGCGAGCCGAGAGAGAACGAATGTTCAGGGCTAGCTGTCTTACTCCGTACAGTCAAGTTAAAAATTTTTGACTGTTGTACATCACATTACCATTGCGAACCATATTAATTTACCAATTCATTTTTAAACCTGTTTGTATTCACTGTAATGTATGCATGTGCAGATGCGTGGAAGCGAGACACTATGCCCTGAACATCTATCTATCTCAAGATTGCTGTCCGTTTATGTACTTACAATGACAGTTCTCATTCCAATTTATATATAGTTCAGTGAAAGGAATATAAACACACAAGTAGGACATAATGAAAGTAAAGATGAAATTTCAGGAACCAAAATAA